GAGAATGCAGAAAATAAACGGAAAATAAACAATAATTTAAGCGGAAATAGCCGGCGAATCAAAGAAAAAACCGGAAAAAAGATACATATTCATGAACACGTGTTTCTGAACAACGCAGACGCCTCTGGGGTGTATGCGCAGGTCCATGTTTCGTGTTTCAGTTCAGTTTACTGCTTCCCCGGAGAAATTCTGTGGTTGGGGGCCAATTTAAATTCTTTTTAATAATATCTAAGAGTGTTGGCCGGCGTAATCTATCTCTATTCAACAGCTTTCCAATCATTTCCGCCCAGGATCGCGGCACACCGACCGCACGAAGGTCCTGTTCTGGGTTTTGCAGTTTCAGACTTCTAGACGAATGTGTGGTATCAATGAGCGCCAAATAATCCTCTAAACCCTCACCATTTGGAATATTATACGGTAATTTCCCGTTTAATATAATTATATAACAAGTTAATCCTACAGACCAAGCATCATACTTCTCATTCAGTGTTGTATGACCCCCCCGCACGAAACAACTTGCATGGGTCGGATCCATGAACAAAAGAGTGATTTTTTCGGTGCAATTTCTTCTTTCTCCAATATTTCCAGCCATACCAAAGTCTGCGAGATGAACAGTTCCGTCTTTTGCAATCAAAAAATTTTCAGGTTTCACATCTGCATGACACACACCGCTGGCGTGCAGCTTGGCTACTGTCTCGATGACTTGGCCGCATACAAACAAACGGCTTTCTATAGGCATACGATCCACGGCGTGGCCGTACGGGCTCTCATGCAGCAGGTCAGCTCCATCACCCGCCATAACTTCTGCTAGTAATACACTATTCAGAAACAGAGTATCTTGGTGTTGAAAGAGAGTTTCATCGGGGTCACCGAGCATCGCTGTGAATATAGGCAATACCCATCGGTTTTCATGCACCAGCTTTCGTGCTGTAGGGGCCTCACCACCTCTTCTGCTTCCTCTGCTTCCTCCTCCTCCTGCTGCTCCTGCTGCTGCTGCTGCTGCTGCTGCTGCTCGCCGCAGCGGCTCTACCTCGCTGTCAAGCATGAGTTTCATATCTTCAAGCACAAGTCTCCGCAGCTGTTTCGTGATTTCTACGGGCTCACCGAAAGAGTAATAAGGCATCTTCAGGGCAAACTCATTCCACCCCAGCACAGCAGCATCTGTTTCATCATCAACTAAAACTCTCAACACAACAGCAG